AAACAGAAGCTGTCTGGGTAACAACCTGTGGATCCTCGGGAACAAATTTCCTTTGATATGGAGACGACCCCCACTTTGCTTGAAGGTAAGCATAGGATCTCCATGGAGGAATCGGCATTGAGTTCTGCTTGAGAGAAGATTTGGCAGCTTCAACCATGACTTCAAGGAACTGCTTGAGTTTCGGTACCGGGCCCACATAGACGATTGGGAGAGAACTCAGGATTCTGTCATACGACTGGACTGCTCTCGCGATTTCAAAGTGGCTGCGAAAGTCGATGTCAATGATCAAACGCTCTGAGCCTCCAGCTTCATCGTACTTGATAACATCTATGTATTCATGATCCCCTAAATCATATAGAAAGGGCCAGTTAGATTATCCAGATAATACGGAGTATATAGCAATTTAGTTCTTCAAACTAGTTATAGAAAGATGTTCTCAAAAAAATTCAGGCTGCTTCGCCAGATAGGTGAATTTTGACAGTGGCGATGCAATTGGCCATCAGTGCCCCTCACACCTCCCATACAAATTCTCACCGCTGTACAACTTTTTTTCCTGATTTTCATGGCCATGTAATGTTTTTCTTCAATCTTTCGTTGAAAATGTTTTCGAATTTTCCTATATTGGAAGAGATCAACAAAAGAACGTGTTTGGGAATCGGAAATGACTTCTCATTGTGAGGCAATTCTCCTTCAGTAGAGTTTTATGTTTTCTATTTTGTGGATTCAAGTCATTCAACTTAATATTATACATAGAACTTTTTATACCAAAGGTACAACCCTTTAAAGCTTCAACTCACACTGCACCGGTTTAGCAAACAGACCCTTACTCTGTTGATACCCCAAAATATCATCACTCTAAAAGTAAAGGCAAATTAAGAGCATTATAAAAGAGGGTACGTACCTGCAGGAACCTTGCCATTGCCAAGCCACTTCGAAGAACAAACACCAGAATCATAGCCCAAAAGCCTCAAGAGCTTCACAAGAGAATATTTGATGCAGCTAGAATTGCAAGGGCCTGGCTTTACAGCATGGAGGTCTGTTTCTTTCATTGATGTCAAAAGTGAATTCACTATAGACAGCAGATTGCTCTCATACTGATCCACCGCCTTCTTGATGTACTGCACAGAAAAGAAAAATGGATGCAGTGAGATTTTGTTTAATATGTAGATGTATAAATGTATTATAGTTCGCTTACATGAACTAACATTAATATCTAATTTTTTCTATATTCTTTGGGTAAAGGTTGAATTGATTGGAGACGTAAACAACATCTTCTACATATTAAATTATTATTTTATCCAAACTGGGGGTGGACAACTTGAGGGTATGGAAAAACTTTGATAACCTATTAAGACTTGAAGTTTATATACAAAGGTTAATCTGATCGAAGATGTATCCAAGAATCTCATATATGTATATATATAATATAATATTACTTTATTATTTACAGTGATTTTATTTGTTAAAACTGCAATTTCTTTGTTTTTTACTATCGATATACGTAGTATTAGACATAAGTTACAATAAACTACGTATACAAGTTTTAGTATACTTAAAAATAGGTAAGTTACAGGTAGGATGCCATGGCACCAACTGGCACTTATCTGGCAGCCCATGACTACCAACTTGTTTGTAGGACCGTGAGCCTGCATACATTTCTGAATCTATCATAAAATATCGCCAAAAACAGGTTGGCTAGGAATCTGGTGAAAAAATTTAATTAAAAAAGGAAGGGGTAAAAGAGCATTGAGTTTGTTTATCAGTTTCAATTCAACCTTCCATAAATGCTGAATTCAGCATTCCTATGTTGAATTCCTATTAAAAGTGGAAAACTATTGCAGCAGAACATTCCCATGCCAAAATGGCAGAAGTCAAGTCAAATATGAGAACCAATCAATCTAAAGACTCAACCAGAGTCTATTAGGGGGAAATTATATAAGCTACTCCGTATATCATTTCCTCCAACCAAGACTTGAACATAAGGCATGTTTGGATCCCCAAAAATGGTAGGGGAAGAGGGGAATGTTATTACCCGATGACAGGGGAAGGAAATTAAAGCATGATTAATGCTAGATCATTTTTCATAACCTTTGCGTAATACAAAAGAAAAAAACCAGCATACATTCATTGAGTTTAAGCATTTATTTTATTTGATTCGGAATTTCCCATCATGCCGTCTATTTTAGAGTACACGTTTTGTTTCCTACGTAGTAATATTTGTGTAATCCAAACAAAACCAAAAGGTTTCACATTGTAATCGACCAGTTTTAGATTTGAGGCGGTTTATTGTCTCTCCATTACAGCTGACTAATGAAGATTGGATGGTTGGACAATCCCACATGACCATTGGGTTGTTGGATCGCAGTAGTCTCAGTCGTACGGCTGGTGTTAGGACAAGAACATGTTACTTGTTCTGAAGCTTACGGCTAATCCAATTCCAAATTTAGACCATCATTTACCTAATGTGAAGGTGTTAGGGGTTTTAAAATTTCAAACTTGAACGCGTTTTCAGCTAGGTACGGAATAATCAAGAAGAAATCATTCACTCAAAACATAACAAGGAGATTAACTGCGTAAATAATAAGCAAAAGGATTCAATTCAAAAGGAAAAGTTCTTAATAGGGATGAAGATGAGAAAAATTACTGACGGATAACTTGTCGGCAAGGTGAGCGAGATCGGAGAAGGTGGAATCGCTGTCGCTGCTACTCCTGGAATCCGCACCTAGGCTTCCATTTTCCAGAAAATCTCTCACCATCGCAGCCAAATCATTTTCGCTGTCGTGGCTGAATCCATCCGCCACCGGCGCCAAACCTCCTACATCACCACCACTTGCTCCGCCGCGGCCGGCCAGTTTCAACCACGGGTCCCCTGGCGAAGCACAAACCCCACAGTCCATTGCAATACCAGCCTACCAAAATTTTCTGTCCGTTTCCCCTCTGGAGAATGAATTCAATATATTTCCAGCGAATTCAATAATTCAAAATTCAAAAACAAAAAAAGTTAGAAACCTAAAATATCTTCCAGAATTTCGATCCCGAACGAACAACTTGACAAAAGTTGCGCTTCAGGATTTCCACGGATCAATATCGGCTCAATCGAATTCGAAGTATCGAAGAAAATCTAAAACGTGGAACAATTCAATCATTAGGCTCTCCGAAGCCCTAGTTTCTAGATAGAAGGGAATCAAATTTGCTGAATTGCGCCTCGGAATGAATGGAAGGTACCAATCGAGACATAAAGACCTGATTACAAACAAAAATAGCTGATCAATTGCAGCTGGGGTGAGTGAAACGAGGAAATGGTGATTGAGAAAACGAGAAAAGCATGAATGATCCGGAGGGGTGAGACGAAAAAAGGGAAGACTTCTGATTTCTGCAACTCCCAGAGGATGAAGAGGATGGGGAGGGAGAAGAGTTCAAATAGAAAATGAGACGGGCATGGGTGAAGGGACGAAAATGTCCTTTTGTCTTTTGCGTACTCAGAAAGAAAACTCGACGCTTTTCACGGGGTCCTCGGGGAAAGATCGTGCCGCGGATAAATTTACTGTGAAAAACCTCTCTGACAACAGAATTTAAGTCTATAGGCTACAGCTATACACACACGAATATGGAATAACTTTAAGATAAGTACTCCGTATTTTTTTATTACCACCCTCCCTAATTATTCTTCTCATTTCAAATGACCCACTTATTAATAAAATAAAATTCTTCCGATTTTTTTATGAGTTTCAAGATTTATTCAAAAATTTGTACCCAGTATTATTCACGTATTTTATTTTTACCGTAATTTTCTACTAATATACATAATTAAATTATTATATATTCTCTCCGTTCTTTTTTAATGCAACATTGGACTTTTTCCACTATTCATGGATGGTACCATGGACTTGAACCATGGCCCAATTGCATAATTCAGCCTATAACGGAATTAGCCTAATTAACAGGATCAGCCCTCAACGGGATCAGCCCATCAACAGGATCAATGATAAAGAGTCGATGAGCCCAGTTAGGATTCAAGCCCACGACAGGAACTCACTGCCAGGCTAGGCTGGACAGCAGACCTCGAGCCCGAAGCCGACCTCGAGGCTGCGCGAGCAGGCCTCGAGTCTGGGCGGAGTTCTAGTGAGGCCGGGATATTCCTAAGGTTTACGTGGCAGGCTATTATTCGGACATTACTATTTGGCAATAGGCGCGACTCGACCGAAATTTAGATACAAGAAACAGACGATTAATGCTTGACATCCAAAGCATGAGAGGAGTTCTATTTCGAGCAAGAATATAGTTCATTAATTAGTATTTATTGTATTAGATTTGTAACACCGTCCCCAAATGTATTTACTTTCAAGTAAATGATGTAATAAACCTTATGGAATGATTTACGAATTTACGAAGTTGTAAATTTTTATTATTCTTTCGCGTGAATAGTAAATTGCACGTGGGGCCCACACCGGGAGCGGGGGCCGCCCGACACTCCCGAGACCACATATTTTATTCATCTTGGTCAAGATAATATTTATATAGTGGTGGACATTTCGTTTGAGTCGTGGAAAGGCGCAGAGTTGACCGATTGGGGAAAAAGAGACCCAATTACCGGTACCGACAATTTAACAGATAACAGCCCGAAAATGAATTTCGGAGGCTTATAAATTAAAGTTGGGGAATGTACATTCATTATACATGTCATAATGAGTAAGAGCACATAATATATTTTATTTGAACCGATAAAATAAAATATATTTAAAGCAGTCCGAAAAATACAACTTTCGGGACAAATTGTACACTTCGGGACAAAAAGGGTTGACCTCCCACATGAGTGGGGGCCAACCCACGATTTTTGCCACTCAAATTGAGGGCTGGGTCGGTTGGCATAGAGAGGAGAAACATGGGGGATGGTGATGTGATCCTTTTAGCATCAAACAAAGAGGAGGTGGCCCCATCCACACTCATTTGCTCTATGAGACAAATGAGTATACCTCACCCCTTCCCCTCCCTCATTTTCGGCCAAGGAGAACCAGGGAGAGCAAGAAAATCCACCCAACCTCCTTCCTCCATTGTTGAAGAAAGCTCATCAAAGAGGAATCACCCAAAAAGGAGCTAAAGTGCTAAAAGTGTGAAATAATTAAGGTAATGACCTTATTATAACTTTTTCTTTATTTTTCTTCTACCATATGAGATATATATCATGTGAAGAATCCTTAAGAGGGTTCTACATGTTATAAGTATGGATTAATGGGTTGGAAAGTGATTCTATGTCCAAGAACGGACTTAGAAGCCAAAACGACCGGTTCACCGGAAAATAACCTTTTTGAGGTTATTTGTATTAATATGGGTTTTATGATTATAAAACCTTGTTAGGGACTTGTAAAGGGTATTTCAAGTGATTTCACAAAGTTGGAAAAGTCGCCGGAGTAGTCGCCGGAGTTGACCAAAAGTCGCCGGAGTTTCACCGGAGTTCAACCAAGAAGGGTAAAACTTCAAAACGCTAGCTCAAGGTGAGTGGACGGCTTAATATCTTATAACTTTTGGGTTAATTATGAGATTACCTAAATAAATGTTATATGTTTTCATAATGATGTTTAAAAGATAATTAAACATGTGATTAGCCAACATTATCAAGTTGTATGAAAAGAATTAATTGATTATGCATGAAATATGATATGAGAGATTATATAAAATGCACATTAGCTTGAAGTGTAAAAGAAGCTCAAATGAGTATTATTGACTTAATTATATGATGATTAAGTTGATGTGAACAAGGCTTGAATTGGCGGTCAACGACAACGTTGACCGATGGATGATGGATTAATTAATATCGGTTGATGTTAGTTAATTATACATTTATTTAAATGCATGGCTTTGCATGGATTGTGATACATAAGATTTATGTATTGGATTAGTTATGAGTAACTAAGGATGATATAGACTCTATCTAGGTTGATAGGAGGTTGATCATAGGAAAACTTGGTGGAGGACCCTAGTACTTAAAAAGTACTTAACACTCAAACTTGGTGGAGGACCCTAGTACTTAAAAAGTACTTAACACTCAAACTTGGTGGAGGACCCTAGGACTTAAAGTCCTTAACACTCAAACTTGGTGGAGGACCCTAGTACTTAAAAGTACTTAACACTCAAAACTTGGTGGAGGACCCTAGGACTTAAAAGTCCTTAACACTCAAACTTGGTGGAGGACCCTAGTACTTAAAAGTACTTAACACTCAAACTTGGTGGAGGACCCTAGGACTTATGAGTCCTTAACACTCACAAACCGGTGGAGTATCCAAGGATTATGATCCTAAAACTCATAGATTGTGATATACAAGTAGGGACAAGGAGGAGTCCTATACACTCATAGGTATATGGGTGGGTTGGGGTTTTTAGTCAAGAATATTGACTATTACTATTTTCCCGAATAAAATGGTGATCTACGGATCGGATATTTTCCAAGTATATATATACTAATAAGTATTTCATAACTTGGGGGAAAGATTATTTATTTAAGTATCACCCTATGTTTGGGTCTTATACTTGAAACGCTAGTTATTCTATATTTAGCCTGCTACTCGCTCGGTACTTGTACTGACCCCTTCGGGGGGCCCCACCATTTTCAGGTTGAAGCTAGAGCTTGCTACTTGCACCTTCTCACGGGTGATATCAAATCAGGGAGACGTGGTTCGTGCTTCCTTATTTTCTTTCAAACTACCGAACACTTGCTCATGGATATTTGTTTTACTACAAACTATTTTTGGGGCTTGCATGCCCATGTTGTCGGCCGGTTGTGGCCCATGACTTACCGTTGAATATTTCCGCTATTCATTGGTTTAATGTGATGTTGTTATGTATGTTTACTACTGAGTATGGATGGATTGTTTTCTCGAACGCCTTGTGTAATTAAGTGAGGTTGACCCGTGGGTGACGTCACTTAGTTATACGGCGGTTGTACACGCGCTTGGATTGCGGTCTGGGGCGTGACAATTAAGTGGTATCAGAGCCATCTCAGTTCTAAACTATATAATCAACCTCTCACAAAAGATTTTGCAAAAGAGTTTTTACCGAAAACCATGAGCATTGTATTTTGACGTTTATAGGACTATTGGTGCTTAAGTTGCAAGGCCTCTAATTGTTAAGACGGTACCCTTAACAATTGGTATGGTAGTGACTTGGGCCAATACGTGTCTGTAACGTTCTTCCGTCAGTTGACATTTATAGGAGTCTAATGGCTCATCCATATTTCTTTCAGAAATAGAGGGCAGGCGAATGAGGACCAGGAACAATCCGAGGGGGCAGGCGCCGGTAGTACCCCAAAGGGGAAGCCGGGCTGCATCTCGGGGTTCGAGAGGAGGCCGTGGAGGCCGTGGAAGCCGTGGAGGTCATCAAGCTCAATCTGTGAGTGATGGCCATGTAAGCTCGGTGTATGAAACCAACACCGAGGACTATGACTCAACCTACGTTCCAGAAACGGAGCATGAGGAGACCCCGTATGATGGGGGGGACACATACACCGATGATGACGATGAGAGTGATGCCCGATTCGCCCAGATGGGTGAATTACTTGAGTGGTATCAAAAGGAGAAACTGAGGAGAGACCTTAGGCGCCAAGCGAGGCGTGGCTCTCGTGGTGGTTCGGGTCAAGGAAGCCGGGGAGCTTCCGTGGCCACCCCAGCGGCGTCACAAGGTGGGCGTGAAGGAGGTTTTGTTGTGAGAATCTCCAAGTACCTCAAGGAGGCTAGGGCCTTGGGGTGTAGGTCCTTTGACGGCACCGGTGACATTACCGTTGCCGCCGATTGGATTAAGAAGGTGAAGGATGCATCAAGAGACATGCAAATCACACCGGACGTGAAGTTGACTGTCGCTTCACGGCTACTTGAAGGGATAGCTTCTACGTGGTGGGAGAGCGTGGAAGGGAAGTACCATGGGGAAATAACATGGGCGGACTTTGAGCTAGAGTTCTATGCTCAATACTACTCCGAGTACGAGGTGAATGTGAAACGGAGAGAGTACACTAACCTCAAACAGAAAGAGGGCGGCACAGTTAAGCAACTGGAACAAGAGTTTAGAACCTTGGCTAGGTTCTTGCCGGAGTACACGGTTGATGAGAACCGCATGACGGAGCACTTTTGGGATGCCCTACTCTTGGACATCCGTGACCGAGCTACGTACTCGCGCCACATGACCTTCAGTGAGGTGGTGGAGCAGGGCCTTCTCGGGGAGGCCCAATGGAATGAGAGAAAAGAGAGAGATGCCGAGGAGGCGAAAAAGAGGAAATGGCAAAGTTCGGGGCCGCCCGAGCAAGCACGAAAGGATAAGCACGGTGGAGGTGGCGGTTCGTTCAAGACACCGGCACCACCGGCAAAGAAGAACAGGGATGCTCGGTGGCATGCATCCTCCTCACAAAGGACGGGGCCTCCAAAGTGTGCCAATTGTTCGAAAAATCATTTTGGGAAGTGCAATGCACCCCCAAGGTGTTATCAATGCGGGAACACGGGCCACATGAAGGCAAATTGCCCACAATTAGGGGGAGGAGGAGCTTCGGGATCCGGAGGAGGAACCATGACGGGAAGAAACCGTGCGGGACCGTCAAACGGCGGTACGGGAAGAGGCGGCGCGTCCACAAGCCATGCCGCGTCCGTAAATCAAGGCGGGACCCAAGCACGAGTGTACGCAATGACCGAGGCGGATGCGCGAGCAAACCCGGACTCCGTTGCAGGTAATACACTTATTTTCCTATATTTCTAGGCTTATTTGGGTCATATGAGTCATTGGGTTTGGGTGCGGGCCACCCCGGGGTCAAACCCCGCGAATTCGGGGCGAAACGGGCTAAAAACAACTACGCGCGATCGCGCGTACCTACAGACGCACGACCGTGCGTGCGAGGCAGTAGCCTCTGGCCGTTTTCCGCGCAGACGCACGCCGTGCGTGCAGGTAAGGCACGCCGTGCGTAGGACGCACGATCGTGCGTGACCAGCTACGCACGATCGTGCGTAGCCGGCAGTGGCGGATTCCGGGTTTCTCACGCACGCACGACCGTGCGTGCCACCCAGGCACGCCGTGCGTGGACCCCAGGCACCCGAAAATTGATTTTTCGCCCCGTTCTTCTACGTTTGGACCCCCGTTTGATTCCAAACATTAGTATGAACCAAATAACATCCTAATGATGTGTAAAAACCTTAGAAAATGTATCTTACATGGTGTACAAATGTAGGAACATTAAAGATCAATGGTAGGTGTGCGAGGATCCTCATCGATACCGGGGCACAACGCTCATTTGTGAGTGAGGCGTTCGCCGAGGGCCTTGACGTGCCATTGACACCTATGACGCAAACATTGCTAGTCTCCACACCGTTAGGAGACGACGTGGAGAGAAATCATTACTATCCGTCGTGCGAGGTGGAAGTGACGGGTCAACCTTTGACTTGTGATTTCGTACCTCTAAGCATGTTGGAGTTCGATGCAATCCTAGGAATGGATTGGCTCGAGAAACACCATGCTCGAGTAGATTGCTACACCAAGGTGTTGGAGCTCGAGGATGATCAAGGAAACACACTATGTTTCGAGGGAGATCGGGGGAAATCTAATGCTTGTATAATATCCGTGATGAGAGCACGGAAGATGATGAGGAAGGGATGCCACGCATACCTTGCCTACGTGGTGGACGATACCAAGAAGGAAGTCGACATCAAAGATGTACGGGTCGTGTGCAAATACCCGGATGTCTTTCCCAAAGACCTACCGGGGCTCCCACCCGATAGAGAGATAGAGTTTGTAATCGAAGTGGAGCCGGGAACCAAACCCATTTCGATTCCCCCTTATCGAATGGCACCGGCCGAACTCCAAGAGTTGAAGGTCCAACTACAAGAATTACTGGACAACGGGTTCATCAGACCCAGTCATTCACCGTGGGGGGCACCCGTACTCTTCGTGAAGAAGAAGGATGGTACACTAAGAATGTGTATTGACTACCGACAGTTGAACAAGGTCACAATCAAGAACAGGTATCCCTTACCGAGGATTGATGACTTGTTTGATCAACTTCGGGGGGCAATAGTGTTCTCAAAGATTGATTTGAGGTCGGGGTATCATCAGTTGAAGATCAAGGAGAGCGACATACCTAAGAGTGCATTCCGCACTAGGTATGGTCATTACGAGTTCCTTGTGATGTCATTTGGTTTAACCAACGCACCGGCAGCATTCATGGACTTGATGAACCGTGTGTTTAGTGAATACTTAGATCAATTTGTGATAGTATTCATTGATGATATCTTGATATATTCCAAGAGCGAGGAGGAGCACGAACATCATTTGAGGCTTATACTTGACCGGCTAAGGGAAAAGCAGCTCTTTGCCAAGTTCTCTAAATGCGAATTTTGGCTTAAGGAGATTGGGTTCCTTGGTCACGTCATATCCGGTTCGGGCGTTGCTGTGGATAACGCCAAGATAAAGGCTATCATGGATTGGGAGAGACCCAAGAATGTGAAAGAGATACGTAGTTTCCTTGGCTTAGCAGGATACTATCGTAAATTTGTTGAAAAATTTTCTGTATTGGCGTCTCCATTAACGAAGCTCACAAAGAAAGGGGCCAAGTTCATATGGGACGACAAGTGTGAGAAAGGGTTCCTTGAACTGAAGAAACGACTTACCGAAGCACCAGTCCTTGCCCTACCCATACAAGGGATAGGGTATGATATATACAGTGATGCTAGCATCCAAGGGCTTGGATGTGTACTGATGCAAAACGGTAAAGTGATTGCCTATGCTTCAAGGCAATTGAGAAAGCACGAGGTGAACTACCCTACCCATGACCTAGAATTGGGGGCGGTAGTGTTTGCACTGAAAATCTGGAGGCATTATCTCTACGGGGAGACATGTCACATTTTTACAGACCATAAGAGCTTGAAGTACGTATTCACTCAGAAAGAGTTGAATATGAGACAGAGGAGATGGATGGAGTTGATCAAGGACTATGACTTGATCATCGATTACCATCCAGGAAAGGCCAACGTCGTGGCCGACGCACTGAGCAGAAAGAGTACGTCGGGGACGCTACTCACATGCCTACAGGCATTGAGGGCGCGCGTGGAGGTGTCCACGTGCGGGGCTCTCATTGCTCGATTCGAGGTTAGGCCCACCCTATTGGGCGAGATTAGTCGAAGTCAGGCCATTGATGAGGAATGTCAGAAAATCCGCGAACGGATCCTTGAGGGGCCCGTCGAGAATTTTCGGGTACGTGATGACGGTCTTTTACTATTTAAGGATCGTGTGTGCATACCAAAGAATGAGGAGCTCCAGAGAGCTATACTTGAGGAGGCTCATTCTTCAGCATATGCCATGCATCCAGGGGGTACTAAGATGTACCGAGATCTGAAGGAAAGTTACTGGTGGTCAGGCATGAAAAAGGATATTGCAGAGTTTGTGAGTCGATGCCTTACTTGCCAGCAAGTTAAGGCAGAGCATCAGCACCCAGCAGGGCTCTTACAACCACTCACCATCCCAGAGTGGAAGTGGGAACATGTGACCATGGACTTCGTGGTGGGGCTGCCACGAACAGTGAACAACTACGATGCAGTATGGGTAGTGGTTGATAGGCTCACCAAGAGTGCACACTTTCTGCCTATCAACATTACTTATCCCCTTGAAAGATTGGCCAAGCTATACACGGAGGAGATCGTGAGATTGCATGGAGTCCCAATATCCATTGTCTCGGATAGGGATCCACGATTCACATCCCGATTTTGGCCAAAGTTTCAAGCATCTTTGGGGACTAAACTGAAGTTTAGCACAGCTTTTCACCCACAGACGGATGGACAGTCCGAGCGGGTGATACAGATTCTGGAAGACATGCTTAGGGCATGTGCTTTGGAGTTCCAAGGAAGTTGGGACAAGCATTTGGCTCTAGTGGAGTTTGCTTATAACAACAGTTATCAAGCAAGTATCGGCATGCCTCCATATGAAGCATTGTATGGGAGGAAATGCAGAACACCGTTGTGTTGGGACGAGGTTGGCGAGGCCAAACTCGAAGGGATAGAACTGGTTGAGATCACCAAGGCCAAGGTAAGGATCATTCGGGATAGACTGAAGGCCGCTCAGGACCGACAGAAGAGTTATGCTGACAAACGGCGGAGACCGTTGGAGTTCGAGGTCGGTGATGAGGTTTTTCTAAGGATTTCTCCTTGGAAGGGCATCATCCGATTTGTATCGAGGGGGAAGCTTAATCCCCGATACATTGGTCCATTTGAAATCCTTGAAAGGATTGGAGCTGTGGCTTATCGTCTCAAGTTGACACCAGAGCTTGAGAAGATACATGACGTGTTTCATGTATCGATGCTCAAGAAGTACATACGAGACCCATCTCATATTCTTGAGAAACCACCGGTAGAGATCCGTGAGGATTTGCAATATGCGGTAGAGCCGGTGAAGATAGTAGGTCAACAAGTGAAGAAGCTTAGGAATAAGGAGATTCCTATGGTAAAGGTTCTTTGGCGGAGTGATCGAGTCGAAGAAGAAACTTGGGAGACCGAAGTCTCAATGAGGGAGCAATACCCGTTTCTTTTCGATTAGACACACGGATTTCGGGGACGAAATCCCAAACAAGGGGGGGTGAACTTGTAACACCGTCCCCAAATGTATTTACTTTCAAGTAAATGATGTAATAAACCTTATGGAATGATTTACGAATTTACGAAGTTGTAAATTTTTATTATTCTTTCGCGTGAATAGTAAATTGCACGTGGGGCCCACACCGGGAGCGGGGGCCGCCCGACACTCCCGAGACCACATATTTTATTCATCTTGGTCAAGATAATATTTATATAGTGGTGGACATTTCGTTTGAGTCGTGGAAAGGCGCAGAGTTGACCGATTGGGGAAAAAGAGACCCAATTACCGGTACCGACAATTTAACAGATAACAGCCCGAAAATGAATTTCGGAGGCTTATAAATTAAAGTTGGGGAATGTACATTCATTATACATGTCATAATGAGTAAGAGCACATAATATATTTTATTTGAACCGATAAAATAAAATATATTTAAAGCAGTCCGAAAAATACAACTTTCGGGACAAATTGTACACTTCGGGACAAAAAGGGTTGACCTCCCACATGAGTGGGGGCCAACCCACGATTTTTGCCACTCAAATTGAGGGCTGGGTCGGTTGGCATAGAGAGGAGAAACATGGGGGATGGTGATGTGATCCTTTTAGCATCAAACAAAGAGGAGGTGGCCCCATCCACACTCATTTGCTCTATGAGACAAATGAGTATACCTCACCCCTTCCCCTCCCTCATTTTCGGCCAAGGAGAACCAGGGAGAGCAAGAAAATCCACCCAACCTCCTTCCTCCATTGTTGAAGAAAGCTCATCAAAGAGGAATCACCCAAAAAGGAGCTAAAGTGCTAAAAGTGTGAAATAATTAAGGTAATGACCTTATTATAACTTTTTCTTTATTTTTCTTCTACCATATGAGATATATATCATGTGAAGAATCCTTAAGAGGGTTCTACATGTTATAAGTATGGATTAATGGGTTGGAAAGTGATTCTATGTCCAAGAACGGACTTAGAAGCCAAAACGACCGGTTCACCGGAAAATAACCTTTTTGAGGTTATTTGTATTAATATGGGTTTTATGATTATAAAACCTTGTTAGGGACTTGTAAAGGGTATTTCAAGTGATTTCACAAAGTTGGAAAAGTCGCCGGAGTAGTCGCCGGAGTTGACCAAAAGTCGCCGGAGTTTCACCGGAGTTCAACCAAGAAGGGTAAAACTTCAAAACGCTAGCTCAAGGTGAGTGGACGGCTTAATATCTTATAACTTTTGGGTTAATTATGAGATTACCTAAATAAATGTTATATGTTTTCATAATGATGTTTAAAAGATAATTAAACATGTGATTAGCCAACATTATCAAGTTGTATGAAAAGAATTAATTGATTATGCATGAAATATGATATGAGAGATTATATAAAATGCACATTAGCTTGAAGTGTAAAAGAAGCTCAAATGAGTATTATTGACTTAATTATATGATGATTAAGTTGATGTGAACAAGGCTTGAATTGGCGGTCAACGACAACGTTGACCGATGGATGATGGATTAATTAATATCGGTTGATGTTAGTTAATTATACATTTATTTAAATGCATGGCTTTGCATGGATTGTGATACATAAGATTTATGTATTGGATTAGTTATGAGTAACTAAGGATGATATAGACTCTATCTAGGTTGATAGGAGGTTGATCATAGGAAAACTTGGTGGAGGACCCTAGTACTTAAAAAGTACTTAACACTCAAACTTGGTGGAGGACCCTAGTACTTAAAAAGTACTTAACACTCAAACTTGGTGGAGGACCCTAGGACTTAAAGTCCTTAACACTCAAACTTGGTGGAGGACCCTAGTACTTAAAAGTACTTAACACTCAAAACTTGGTGGAGGACCCTAGGACTTAAAAGTCCTTAACACTCAAACTTGGTGGAGGACCCTAGTACTTAAAAGTACTTAACACTCAAACTTGGTGGAGGACCCTAGGACTTATGAGTCCTTAACACTCACAAACCGGTGGAGTATCCAAGGATTATGATCCTAAAACTCATAGATTGTGATATACAAGTAGGGACAAGGAGGAGTCCTATACACTCATAGGTATATGGGTGGGTTGGGGTTTTTAGTCAAGAATATTGACTATTACTATTTTCCCGAATAAAATGGTGATCTACGGATCGGATATTTTCCAAGTATATATATACTAATAAGTATTTCATAACTTGGGGGAAAGATTATTTATTTAAGTATCACCCTATGTTTGGGTCTTATACTTGAAACGCTAGTTATTCTATATTTAGCCTGCTACTCGCTCGGTACTTGTACTGACCCCTTCGGGGGGCCCCACCATTTTCAGGTTGAAGCTAGAGCTTGCTACTTGCACCTTCTCACGGGTGATATCAAATCAGGGAGACGTGGTTCGTGCTTCCTTATTTTCTTTCAAACTACCGAACACTTGCTCATGGATATTTGTTTTACTACAAACTATTTTTGGGGCTTGCATGCCCATGTTGTCGGCCGGTTGTGGCCCATGACTTACCGTTGAATATTTCCGCTATTCATTGGTTTAATGTGATGTTGTTATGTATGTTTACTACTGAGTATGGATGGATTGTTTTCTCGAACGCCTTGTGTAATTAAGTGAGGTTGACCCGTGGGTGACGTCACTTAGTTATACGGCGGTTGTACACGCGCTTGGATTGCGGTCTGGGGCGTGACAAGATTCCTCCTAAATATCAACTCCTAAAGTCTATAAATACTCATGTACATATCTTGTAAAAAGGGGTCTCTCTCCACATGAATAATACTCTAATTACTTTCTCACGATCAATGAATATTGGATTGATTTAGCTCTCTTTGTTGGAATTATATTCCATTATCACGTGTTCTACTTTGACTCTATTTTATTTATTAATGTATTATAAATTAAATTTAAAACAAAATTGTTAAATTCTTCTCATTTTAAAGTTTCAAAATCTATTTTTTTTATTTATTTACTAATAAGGTATGAAAGAAATTAATGGTCAAACTTGTAGGTGGCTACAGGAATAAGGGAGAAGAAGCCTGGACAGTGGTTAGGGGCAAGTCACTGGCAGGAGAGGAAATTAAAGGAGCGGGCTGAATGGACAAAGTAGATGGAGACATTGTGGCACTGGTTAAAATAGAATAAGGAAAAATATTTTCTAAAAATCGGACATTCCGATTGATATAAACCTTACCAGAAATAGGATCAAATCAACGGTACCCTTTATATTCAGACGCATATCCTCAGAAAACACACTGAACAGACCGGGGTAATAACTTATTTGCCGAAGAGGCATTAAAATTAGGAAAACAAGCACAACCAAAAACACGCATGCCAGACAACTCAGGTTTAGTGTGAAACAATTTTTCAAAAGGAGACAAACCATGTAGGGTAGGAGAGGGTAGGCGGTTAATAATAAAATGGCAGTAAGAATAGCATCTACCCAAAACGTAGCTGGCAAATTAGCGGTGATGAGCATAGTACGTGCCAATTCAAGTAAATGGCGATGTTTGCGCTCAGCCACGCCATTTTGCTGAGGAGTTTCAGGACATGATTTATTACCAACATTGTTACTACTAAGTTGAATGTTGTGGAAGATTATCTGTCTTGGCGCACTCAATTTGAGGCTTTTATGGTGTCCAATGGTTTTTTGGGTATTATTGATGGTTCGCTCATTGCTCCCCCCCCCCCATATTTTGTATGCATATCAGCGTGAAACATTTAATCCGGATTATTGTAATTGGTTAAAAATTGATCAAACTGTCCGGTCTTGGTTGTTTGCTACTCTGTCTCGTGATGTGTTAATTGAGGTGCGTGAGTTAAAAAATGCTTCCACTATTTGGGGTCGTTTGGAATCCCACTTTATGTCTGCTAGCCTTGCTCGGTCCATGGAACTGAAACGTCAGTTAACTCATTCTCGGAAGAGTCCTACTCAGTCCATGGATCACTATCTTCGGGATATTAAGATTATTGATGACGACTTAGCTATGATTAATGATCCGGTTTCTCCCCGTGAACTGTTCAAGATCATCTTACTTGGTTTGGGACGAGACTACGAGTCTCTTATTACCTACCTCAGTTGATCTGTTTCCGGAGTGCTTCACCTTTGAGAAGCTGCGCACCTACTTGATTGAAAAGGAGCAAACTTTGCAGTATATGCGGTCTATGGAGGAACCTCTTCAGGCTCAGGCCTTCGCTGGACAGGTTCAGGCAGCGGGGCATCCTCCTCAGGCAGCTGGGCAGCCGCACAGGGGACGAGGGCAGCGCGACCGAGGTGGCCGCGGACAGCGTGGACGTGGTGGCCTCGGGCAGCGGGGACGCGGATATGGTCCACCTCCTCCTGGTCACGGTTATGTACCGCCATATGACTATGCCACACCTTCGCCCCGGCTACTTTCAAGGGGGTGCACCTCATGCTGGCATTCTTGGAGCTCCAGGCTCGACAGGTCTGTCTGTTCAGTCAAATTTTTATACTTATGCATTATCTGCCTCTTTTACTAACCGTGGTTATGCAGGCTCTTCCTCAGTTGACGGGAACTCTGTTCCTCCTATAGTCTGTCAGATTTGCTATGCTCCAGGTCACCCTGCATCTACTTGTTCGTCTCGTTTTGTTCAGCCGGTTGCGCCTGCTCTTGCTGCCACGGCTCCTGAAGCTTCTGACATTGTGTGGTATCCTGACTCAGGTGCCTCAGCACACATGACTCCTCATCCAGGTATTTTGACAAATAAATCCTTTTCTCCCAACTCTCGTTCTATTATAGTAGTTAATGGTAGCCCTGGCAGATATATATATATATATATAGACAGAAGAGTTATAAATACATAAAAAGTCCCACAATAATAATAATATTAAAACTACTCTATTATACATGTGTGGCTTATGAGCTTAGGGAAATTTACCGGGATATGACTAAAACTCAATGAGTTTCTCACCAAAAATCCAAAAACAAATAGAAAATTCGTTTATATTTAAATGTTGAATGACGAAAATACCCTTATTTAAAATATGTGCAATTTGCACTAATTTCGTCCAATTAAAATTACAACACTTTATATTGTCTTTAATGCACGATATTAATGCACGACATTAATTATTGCACATCCTGTAAAATCACTGCACTTCATGTCAACATTAATATCTTCTTATCCACGTTTGGAATTTATTTATAGTTCTTTATTAATTTATTTTTAGATGTAATAACTTTAAATTAGTTTTTACATCACATCCAGTTAAATATAGTACATCTTGTGTCATCATTTATTAATTTACTGCTCGTACACAACATTATCCAATGCCATGCTCATTGTCCATATTCAACACTATCTATTTTCTCCGATTCAATACACAACACTCTTCCTCAATGCATTCATTCACTGCTTATGTTTACTGTCCATATTCACTGCCCGTTCTCAATGCCTTAGAATATGGCCCGGTGACAGTGTGCCGGGTGTAGACAGATCCAAACAAAGGGATTTCGAATATGGTGAATCCAAGATTGAAAAAAGAAAGATGCTTTCGTCACTTGAGGCTAACCCAATGATCAAAGAAAATATTTTTATGGGAACATTCCAAACTGTACAAGAGAAACTAGAACCCTATCACCAATCCCAGGAAATTGAATTTGAAAATTAAACAAACAACCGTGATAACCAGATTTCGTCCGCTCCATCAAAACCTGCCAGGAAGAATAATTACATAACGCCTTGAATATATAGTCTCCCACCATGACTAAAGAGCACTGGTGGCCGGATCCTCGCGTAGCAATCGCCGTTCATCCCTGGTTGAAGTCCTCGGCACCCGTGCGCAGATGCGAGGTTGTCGGCAATATCCAAGACGGCTATCGTGTATGCATCCAGATCAGGCCCCTCCAGGCAAAGTAGCTCCTGCGGCGGAGGTTTGCTTCCAGATCGGGGAAGAGGCTCTTGGCTAGTGCAGGTCAGCTAAATTAGGGTATTAGGTGATTGTGGTTTTATAATTACAGTTTAAGGGCATATCAGTCCACAAAATTTATTTATTTATTTAATTATTAATATATTAATTAATTACTACGAATTTTGATATTATTTTGGTAAAAAAAGTAATAAGGTCATAGATTGAGAAACTGATGGAGTTTTAGTCTTACCTAGAATAATTATCTCTATGAGCTTATCCAGTCAGCCTCGTATGCAAGGATAAGAGCCGTTACGACAGTAATGATCAATTACTTACACGTTTCACTATATTAGTGGGGTAGTTACATTACTTGTTCTGCAAGTATTTCTTATTACACTATAAATATCACCTTTAAAATTTATTACTCGATTATACTTAACATTTTTTGACTCTCCCTCAATTTTGCCTCGCTAGATCAAATCAGTAAAACCATAACTACCAAATACTATTACCTACACTATACCTAAATTTTACATCAAATGAGTATAAAATACGGAGTAACAAACGGAAAGAGTAAAATGATAGTATTAGACTAGTGTAGCACCCGGGGCATGCCTCGGTAGTGTTAATTTGATATAAGTTCAGATGAGAAATATTAATAAATATTGTGAACTATTTAATTGTGGGAAAAATGGGAACAATTTAACTTATATGATATGATCAAAAATTTGGAGTCTAATTAATTATATTTGACTATTATAGATTCTGTCTATTTGTAATTACAAACGGTTGAAATTTTGTCTGATCTGATTTGATCTATTCATCTCTGAAGTGATCTGATTTGGTCTGGTCTATTAAATCAGTCCAATTCAAAATAGACCAATTTTATATTCAATCTACCTTGTAAACCTTTTTGCAAGAAAATTTGTAATGAAGGGGGTACATCATCATCATCATCATCATTATATTCACTATATAAAATAATAGATGTCTTGGAGTTTGATTGGTGATCTTGTTTTCAGCTTATCCGTCTTATCAGTAAACTTTTTTACCAAACATGTAACTTGTGAATTTGTGAGTTGAGTTTTGTAATAATTAAAAGAAAAAATTCCACTTTTGGTCTCATGACTATTAGGCCACTTCCACATTTTCCCCTTGACTTTCAATTTAACCACATTTAGTCCGTGACCTTTTGCCCTTCACCACCCATCATCCTTCCGACCACAACTCCGACATATTTTAACCGGAAAGCCATTTACGGAGAAATATTAGGGACATTTTAGTAAATGTATGTTGTTAAAATGGCTACCTTCTAAATTAACTTGACTTAATGCATACATTTTGATAACTTAACTTTAACATTTTGACCTAATATTTCTCCGTAAATGGCTTTTCGGTTAAAATGTAACGAAGCTGTGGTCGGAAGGACGACATGGTGAAGGGGAAAAGGTCACGGACTAAATGTGGTTAAATTGAAAGTCAAAGCAGAAATGTCCAAGTGGCAAAATAGTCATGGGACCAAAAATGGAATTTTTTCTAAATAAAATCAGTAAAGTTGAAGCTACTTTTTTGACTGAACTGGTTGAAGTTAATCCAAAGAACTATTTTAGCTATTTTTCATATTTTTTCTTTCTTTATTATGCAGTATATTGATAAAAATAAATTTTAATTTTTTTTTTCATAACTCAGCAAAATCAACTAATCCAACTGGACAGTCACTTCAGTCAGAACTTTATAAATTTCATTAGAATCAACCGACTCAACTAATTTCAGTTTTACCAAACAGACTCTTAGTAGTAGTGATGCACCAAGTGAACTTGGATTAACCAATGAGAGACTAACACATCATTGATTTATAATACAATTTTAAATGAACAAATCTATGTTCTATTTGGTACGTAGTATGTATTTACTTGGACTGAAATTTT